TTACAAGTACAACTGTTTTCGGCTTCTCACGCTGTGTGCATCGGTCCGAATGCACTTATGGAATCCGTGACATCTTCGCGCGTTCTAACTACCAGTATCCTGAATACTTGCTTCTCACTCTGCCCCATGATGTTACAGACACAGCTACGGATACAGATACTACAACCCACCACAAAATCGTGAAAGAGCCAGACATTTTATCCCTTATCCGGCCGCCAGGTTGTTTTAACCACCGTCATTCCGTAGAAGCCCATGAAATTTCCTTCCTCTGCTGGACCGTGCGTGATTATTCTAGTGGCTAAAGTTTTTTGAGCTATACCCCGATTCAGCCCATTTCTTGCTTGTTTTTAATGCTGCGGACCGGAAAAGCACTGAACCACTGCTCTAAAGTCAACCGTAGGCAACCATGCACTATGTATGAATTGATTTATGTTTCTAAAATGGCCCTTTTGTCTGATTTTCAGACAAATCCACCTACTTGTACCTTGCTAGGTGTTCCAAGGTATATTCATAACACACATACATTTCACACTAACGAGCCAGTGGCTGAATATCAGCGACAAACACGTCTCGGCGTTGAACTGGTTTCTCTGCTGCCAAATGGTGTATCCATTAATCCCCGTATATACATTCGTCTCAAACAGTATGAGCCCAGGCGTGTTTAGCCCCTCATCTTATCCAAACTAAAACACATCTCGTTCTTCGTTTTAGATCAGAAAGGACCATGCCTTTGATTACTTTATTTCTATTACCGATCATCTTTACAATCACAAATCAACCGTTACCAAAATAAAATTCCCATAAATCACTCAGACGGTGAGACAAAATTTGACAGTTTCTGACGCTTATACAGGTAGGGCTCTAGGTCCCGACAAACCTGCTCCTTGTACTTTGCAGTTCTGACTAGCACCGGTAGTTTCTTATTCCAGAATTTGCACTCTTTCCTGCGATGACGCTCCCTGACCTTCTGTTTCAAACCGATTTCCAAGTATTTTCCCTCTTCCTCAGTATATTTGGGTCAGACGCGGCTCGTATCGCTTCCATCAGGTGTTGGATTTCTAGAAAGAAGAGAAGCATTATGGTAAAGTGCGTTTTTAGCCGACCTACTTATCAAGTGGCACATTGATAAACAACTTACCCAGTTTTAGCAAAATTCGCCCAGTACTTCATTATGGTTTCGCTGAGTTTTACTTCCTGTGGAGCGTAGGTATAAAAGTTCTTAAATTTCTCAGAAAATGGCATCCCGAAGACGTAATCGATTTCGTAGCCATGCATAGCCCCAGTCCAGTTGGGAAAACGGTTATCCTCCGTTTTGTGAACAAAAACGTAGGAGTAAACTTCGCTACCAGGCAGCTGTGCAATGCGATTAGCAATTTTTTTGCGTTCCACATGTGAATTCCATGTCACCGGAAATTTCATCCATCTGCTGCATAAACTTGATCGAATTATCTATCTTGAATTTTGGTAGGAAGTCGTATACTGTGGCCAGGTTACTTCTAATTTCGTCGATGATTTTTTTGTTGAAATTCTGCTCGCTGATAAACTTTGCTATGAGTAGATTATAGATGGCATTCACGTCAGGTATTGCGGCCTTCAAAGTTCTTTTCTTTGGCAAGTCCACTTTGCCATCCGTTTTGAGAAATTGCGTACTATTTAGCCCACCATAATCCGCAGACAGCCCATAGAGAAGCCAGTACATGCCCTCATTTGCCATTGTGCCTATTAATAACTTTGGTGGTTGCTCTATCGTTTCATTAAGAAGCTCGTCTGGGCATTTTGGCAGAAACATATCGTCAAGTGTTGGTGCAAATTCAAACGAGGCGTATATCGCAGCATTTGTAGTATTTGTTTTCACGCGTGGCCTAAGTTCATGCAAAAGCTTAGCACGTCGTTTTTCTCTTGCATAGTACACGGCATAGTACGTATCTGTAATATTCTTTGCTGAGAGACCCTGCAGACATTTCAACCGTTGCTCTAGTGTTCCCTTGCATCCACAAGCTTTGATAAACTAA